AGCTATATGAAAACATACAACACATGAATCCAGACAGCTATAAAAACATACATCACATAGATCCAGACAGCTATAGAAACATACATCACATTGATCAAGACAGCTATTAAAAGTTTTCTGTATCATGTACATGTACATTTTAGAACTATAAAGCACTTGTTTTTAGTTTAATTTCCAAGGTGTAATCAACAAAATTAAGGTTCAGAGAGTTTCAATCTTTTCCAGAAGAATGACGCTACTTTCTTTGCTCTATTAAGGTTCCGAGAGTTTCAATCTTTTTCAGAAGAATGACGCTACTTTCTTTGCTCTATTAAGGTTCAGAGAGTTTCAATCTTTTTCAGAAGAATGACGCTACTTTCTTTGCTCGATTAAGGTTCAGAGAGTTTCAATCTTTTTCAGAAGAATGACGCTACTTTCTTTGCTCTATTTTCATTTTCTCTATGTACACTAGCTCTATTAACAATATTTAATAGACTTGATCCATTTCCTCTTTTCAACATTTGTATTTACATATTATAAGACATATTAAGAATATTAGAAATATATTGCTATTAACAATTATATTACTTTTTGCCCCAAACTCAAATTTTCTAACCCCAACATCTTTGCATCTAGGGTGGGTCAAACTTTATTACTTGAATTATCAGAATTTAAAATATCAAAGGTCTGCGATATTGGGTCAGAAAGATAAAGGGATTCGAATATTTGAGTAGTTTAAATATCGTAATCTTTCTATTTTTTTAAATTTACGATGTATTTTATAGGACGATTATTTGGCCACTAGGTGTCTCTGTTTCGATATTTCAGGGATTAAAAATTGTTTATAAATACAATTAATTTACGATATTTAAACTACTAGTATCTTTCCAATCCAATATCGAGGACCTTTGATACTTTAAATTAAGAATTCTGATGAATGCTCTGTAGAAAAAAAGGGAAACTAGTCTAGATTCAAGTTTTCAATTGAATTTTTAAGGATATAGCTCCAGGTAACGCTGGGTTTCCAAACTAGTGCTTTTAAGTTTGAATTTTAGCGTCACCAATCACTTGGAACCAAGATGGCCCCCCCGTAAAAATCGATCAGTTTTACAATTTTTAAAACGAATTGCCTAGATCTACAAAAAAAAGTATAGGTGAGTTTTTGAGGTTAAACCCAAGGCACAACGGAACAAAACAGAGCCGTTCCTGCGTCTTCATAAATTTTAGAACTTAGGCTTTGATGAAATTACAAGATTTGCAGATGAAAACTTGTGAAAATAAAAGTTTTTGTCAAATATTTGAACTAGAAATATATATAAATTTTAGACTCGTATAAAATCATAAAATTTCTATTTCTATCCAAAACAAATACGGACTTTAAATCCTAATAAACAAAAAACAACTTTTGTTTGCCGAGTAAATATGCAAGATATGACTTATTTATTCATATCTCGGGCAATATTGAAAGCACAAAAAAGGCAGACCACATTTTGGAAATGGCAGGACTAGGGACATTTTGTGATTTTTATCTCTAGAAATTTACTTCTAAAATTAGGTTGACAAATAAATGCAGCAAATTATATCAAAAATCAAGACGATATTCAAGTTGTCTTGCTATACTGTCATGTTTCGTGGGACACCCTGTAGTTAGAATTTATTAACCTTAAAGTACGAAGAATTAATGTTGCTCCACAAGAAACGCAGTTTACGTCTTAACTTATCTTTTATTTAATATGTGTTTAAACATGCAGTATGTATCCACTCATGCAGTCTTAATGTCATATCATGAAAGCATGCTTTTGGCAAAATAAAATATTAATAAAAAACTAATTTGATATTGCCTGTGCCCTTTAGTTTATAATTTTTGTTGTTGTCTTTACTCATCAATATTCACTTTTTAGTTTTTGTGGTTTTCGTCACTGGAACAAATAGCACTTTTGTCCAAAGGGAAGGTTTCTGAACTGTCAAAATTGCAATAAAGAAGAAAAAATAGCAACCTGAAGAGCAACATTTAAAAACATACATAGAAATTGTGTCTTTGCCACAAAATAAAATTTTCTAATCCCAAAATCTTTGGAACCTAATGCATGGTATAAACCTTTGATATTTCAAACTTAGATTATTTGTTCTCGCAGAATTCATCGTTTGAGATATCTAAGGATTACGAAATTTGGTCACAGATAAACAGTTTTTTTTACATAACTCAAAAAGTATTGTTCTGAGGCTGTTGAAATTTTCTGACTTTTCCTACATACCCAAAGCCCTCCCTTTAGGCCTAAAACCGGGCTTTAATACTAACTGCCTGAGTCCTCAGGCACACTGCCTGAATGACTGCTTTTGCCTGT